GAATTGGAGCTCGGATGGGGCAGTTCTGAGTGCTTTGATGAGCATCAGTCTCCAAAAGGAGATTTAGCATTGAACTATCATCTGCTCGATGTAGGTCTCATGAGTCAGTCGGCTTTGGTTGTCAGACGACAGCGAGTCTTTAAAGCCCTAACCCTGGAGGAGTTATCAAAGGGAGATGAGGCTGGTTCTGTGGCTAAGGCTGTGGCTGGTGCGGGTTGTTCTGCGCGGTTGCCCCGCGAGACGTGTCGAGTCGGGGGGAACAACAAAATGGGGTTTGGGTGGGGCACAAACCACCTTGGGCAGCGAACCACCACTCTCGGCCGTGTCTCAGGATAACTTCACATCCCGCCATTTCAACCATCGCTCGCCTTTTTGCATTCAGTCTATTTTCCGCGCATCCAACTCTTGAAACTCTCGCCCTTGTACAGCGTCATTTCCGAAACCAAGGCACTTAAACAAAATGGTGAGCGAACCCCATAGCAGATGGTCAATTTTTTTCCGACGCATCGCACTACGGCCCTGCTTTGTTTACCCCGGGCTCTGTTCCAAACCGAGCCCCCGCATCACATAACAGGGCCAAACAGACGAGGCGATGGCTAACAGTACGGTGCATAGGCTTCGACCAACTACAAGGAGGCGTTCTCGCTATTTGACATTCGCGGTGTCGGCCGTGTAGCCCTCGACAAGCTCGGCGACCTCCTCCGCGCCTGCGGGCAGAACCCGACCTTGGCCGAGATCCGTGACCTGGAGAAGAGCGTGGGTGACGAGTGTAAGCAGCACATTCCCTCATAGGTCTTTCGGTCAACTGCAGCTGACACACTGGCACAAACAGTCGACTTCGAGACCTTCCAGCGCATCCTGAACCGGCCGGGCGGTTTCCGCGATCCTGGCGAACCAGAAGAATACTGCCGCGGTTTCCAGGTGTTTGACAAAGACATGACGGGATTCATTGGTGTCGGCCAGCTCAAGTATATCCTTACGAACCTTGGCGAGAAGATGTCGGAAGACGAGGTCGATGAGTTGCTCAAGGCTGTCGACACTAGCTCGGGGCAGGTCAATTACACAGGTAGGAGATATCCTTGTTGTGGTGCTGGACGCTTGCTGACGCAACCTACCAGAGCTCGTACGCACCATTCTCTCTAACTAGAGGTCATGAGGAGACGGGGGTTTACGAAGCAGTCATGGGCCGGTTTGGCGACGAGGCCGATCTACGACATGACAGTAACGGAGGGAATTGCATTGGTTGCGTGATGGGCGGCTGGCGTTGGAGTTGTGCGATCTGGGATGTATTAAATTTGGGCGCCTGGATTGGTATTGATGATACACCATTCAGGACTTGGGATACGGCACACAGGTTACAACCTAGATAGCAATAGGAAGTCATTCCACCAAATGCTGATTCTGTCTGAAAATCAGATATCCAACTTGGAACTTTGGACAGATGGACGAGGAGGGGCATTCTTGGTGGGGGAGAAGCTCTTGGCCCAGTGGTAGCAAGGCTTGGCGCCAATTGCGGGTCTTTAGTTGTTGCATTCCAAGATCCAAGGCTGGCACGCCAGGCATGATGGTTTCGTGTCAGATTCAACCGCGACTGATGAATTCGAAGCATCCTAAACTTTTCGTGATTACCTAACTACTTCCAATGCCACGAGTAATCCAAGCAAGCACCGATCAACCCGAGATTATCGTACAAAATTCCTGGGCCTAATTCCCGCCTTGATGATTCATTCTCACCTCCCGTTCAGACTTGCTTACAAGGTGTTGGACTGACAAACTGCTGTCCCCGCCTCCACTGTCCTTTCGTCCAACACCTGTTCCTGTCCCACCTCGAGCTTCCCCGCAATTGGGCTTACACTTGGACCCCGCGGTCCTCAGGGTTTACATTCGCACCCAACAAACCCCCTCCCATCTTTCACCGTGGCGCCCACTGCTCCCCCGATTCGGCAGGCCGTCTTCCTGTTACTATTGTCCGTCATCCTCTTCTCCACGACGACCGTCATCCTGGCCGCCCCCCGCATCGCCCCCCGCCTTTTTGCCCTCTTCACCCAGCTCAAGTACAGCAAGGCCCACCAACAAGCACCCTTAGGAGGAGCCTTTACTGCTGTCACGACTGGTCGTCCCGCTCTGGGCACCTTGACCTTCTCCTCTCAACTCTCCTACTTCACTCACGCCCCAAACGTCGACATGGCCAAGTACGAAAACCCCCCGCAGCCCCCGCCGCTGTTTACCGGCACCAAGGACAGCATCGTAGCTGATTCCAAGGGCCTGTGTGACCGCACTCGCTCGCTGCTGGACTCTCTCGTTGCCGACATCAAGCCTACCGAGAAGGCTGCTGCGACCTTCGAATCGGTCATCCGCCCGCAAACTGAGGACGAAAACGAGAGTGCCCTCAGCGCCCGCATCCTCGGCTTTTACCAATATGTGTCCGGGGACAGTGCGCTCCGTGATGCTAGTACCGAGGCCGAGAAGATCATGGACGAGTTCTCCATCGAATGCAGCATGCGCGAGGATGTCTTCCGCCTCGTCGACGCCGTTTACAACAACTCGGGTCTCGGGGCGAGCATCGCGGAGAACAAGGACCGACTGATCGACGCTGGTCTAGCCAAGAGCGCTGGCCTGGACGACGTCGAGAGTGCGAGGCTTCTAGAGAAGGAGAGGAAGAGCTACATCAGAAATGGTCTGGGTCTGCCTGAGGGCCCCAAGAGGGACCGGTTCAAGGAGATCAAGAAGAGGCTCAGCCAGATCCAGATCGCGTTCCAGAAGAACCTGAACGAGGAGAACAACGGTCTCTGGCTTACCAAGGAAGACCTCGACGGTGTCCCGCAGGATGTCCTAGACACCCTGGAGAAGGGAACCGGCGACAACGAGGGAAAAGTCCGCCTCTCCTTCAAGTACCCCGATCTCTTCCCTACTTTGAAGTTTGCCAAGAACCCCGACATTCGCCGCAAGGTCTTTATCGAGAATGAGAACAAGGTAGGTTTACAGCCATGGGCAATCCCTCAGCAGCCGTGGCAACGCTGACATTTGGTGTAGTGCAATGAGAACGCCCCGCTTTTCAAGGAGGCCATCCTTCTCCGCGACGAGGCCGCACGCCTTCTCGGTTACCCCGACCACGCGTCGTTCCGTATCGAGGATAAGATGGCCAAGACCCCCAAGACAGTGCTGGACTTTTTGGGAGACCTCAAGAGTCGGCTGGCCGCAGGTGGCGTCAAGGAGATCGAGCACCTCCTGACGCTCAAGAAGAAGGACCACGCGGCCCGTAATCTGCCGTTTGATGGCAATTACTACCTTTGGGACCACCGCTTCTACGACCGCCTATTGGTCGAGCAGGAGTACAGCATTGACGAGAATGCCATTGCGGAATATTTCCCGCTGACCTCGACTGTTGCCGGCATGCTCCGCATCTTCGAAGAGCTCTTTGGCCTCGTTTTTGTCGAGCTAACGCCGGAAGACCGCAAGCGCATCTCCTCGACTGGAAAGGCCGAGGATATTGCGTGGCATGAAGATGTGATCATTTTCAGCGTCTGGGACGATGCGAGCGAAGGCAATGGCTTTGTCGGTTACCTCTACCTCGACTTGCATCCCCGCCCTGGAAAGTACGGCCATGCGGCCAACTTCAGCCTCCAACCGGGCTTCCTGAAAGCCGACGGCACCAGGCGGTACCCTGCCACGGCCCTCGTCTGCAACTTCAGCAAGCCCACCGACAAGAAGCCTTCCCTTCTCAAGCACGAGGAGGTCGTGACCCTCTTCCACGAGCTCGGTCACGGCATTCACGACCTGTCCGGCCGTACCCGATATGCTCGGTACCACGGCACGTCAACTGTCCGCGACTTTGTCGAGGCGCCCAGCCAGATGCTCGAGAACTGGTGCTGGACCCCCAGCCAGCTCAAGAGCCTGAGCAAGCACTACGAGTCGGGCCAGCCGATCCCGGATGACCTCATCGAGAAGCTGATCGCCACCAAGCACGTAAACGACAACCTCTTCAACCTTCGCCAGCTACATTTCGGCCTATTTGACATGACGGTCCACACCCCCAAGACGCACGAGGAACTCGAGAAGCTGGACGTCAGCAAACTGTACAACGACCTACGCGTGCAGATCTCGCAGATCAAGGGCCCTGAAGCACAGGGCGAACCTAGGTAAGCCGCCCACTCTCCCCTTTACAACGAGCGAGGTTATGCTGACGATGGATCACGCGCAGCACATGGGGCAACGGCCAGGCGACGTTTGGCCACCTGATCGGCGGCTACGACGCCGGTTACTACGGCTATCTGTCCTCGCAGGTCTACTCGACCGACATGTTCTACTCGGTCTTCAAGGCCAACCCGATGGACCCCACTCAGGGCCGCCGGTACAGGCACACGGTGCTCGAGAAGGGCGGGTCCCAGGACGAGATGCTCACCCTCGAGCAGTTCCTGGGGAGGAAGCCGAGTTCCGAGGCTTTTTACAAGGAGCTGGGGCTCGAGGCTTGAGTGTGCGCCGCAGTGAAAAGTTGTACCTGATTGGGTACACCATTTGCGCGGCCATCAAGCGTCATCGTGGTCGTAGTTCAGTGACGCCCATAGCTTACCAAATAAATACTCCGTGGTTGAGAAGCTGAATGAAAGTTCAGCCGTTGAGGTACCTACACGGTACAGCATCGTACAGGCCGCAGTCAATGTTTCCTATGTGTATAACTTTAGCCGCGTAGTTGCAACCCCTATTTGCGACGAAATGAGTATGTACATGTACATACGCGTAGTCAGGTGATACCGCGCTTCACGCCGCCCCTTTCCCCGGTCTCAGTTTCAACAGCACAACGGTTGTCTTCAACTTTCCTTTATTTTTGTCGTAACAAAATCGTTGCAACCCACTACATACATATTTCTGTACCTGTTTAGCAAACCTACGCATTTTATCCTACGCGGTTTTGTCGCCTTAACTCAAAGCAAGCAGCCTGGCCGAGGACCTTCTTGAGAAGCCCACCCGCACCGCAAACACCAACTACCAACAAATAACCGGCCCGGTTAGCTCAGCTGGTTAGAGCGTCGTACTAATATTGTGGGGGTTCCAAAACCCTGCTATATCATGTCATGCGAAGGTCAACAGTTCAATCCTGTTACTGGGCAGATGAGTTGGGGAGGAGTGAAATTAGCTTTTTTGGTGAGCTTTTTTTTTCTGGGCTGGGCTGGTGGGTGGAGTGTTCGAGGGGTGGATGCCCGGCCGGGTGGAGGAAGTATCATGAGGTCCCCGTGGTGGGGGTTGTTGGAGCATTGTGGTGGGTATGTTTTTCTCCGCCCCTGGACAGGGTTTGGAAGGGGGGGGAGGGCTGAGCCCTTGCTGTGCCCAGTTCCTGTCCCTGTTTTGAGGATTGCAAAGCGGCCCTCTGTCTGTTGTGTGTTGACTGGATCCCATTGTTTACGAGGAGTTGCTCCAAAGACACCAAAATCGTTGTGGTGGTTCTCAACTCTGTTTTGTAACGCAGATACAAAATACTAACTTCCCAAAATGCGAGCTCGCTATGATACGGACTCCTGAATCCAAACACCGTAAACCAAGTACTCCTGGCAATGCTCTCCAACACATGAATCATCAAGCTCTCTCTCTCTCTATCGTAAAAGACTACGCAGCGGCCGGGTCGCCAGTGCCTGCAAGCACCTCGGGCGCGCAGCGCGTATCATAGTGCTCCAACAAAACCCCTAAACCCCAAGCGAACACAAAAAGCCACCTGAGTTGAACGCCGACCTAAGAGATGGGCGCACAACTGTACGGGTCCGAAACCGACCCGACTTCGTACCGATGCATCTAGACGTGGGTTAGCAGTTGTTCGCAGAATAATCAGGACGGCAACCGTGCTTACAATATCCCAGATAGCAGAGTAAGTCCCTACACCAAGCACGGTGATGCCAACGATAAACGACAAGGCGTTGGCGGCCGCGGGAAGCCAGTTCTTGCGCTCGAACCATTTCCCTTCCCTGATGAACATGTACCACATGATGGCCGGGAAGTAGAAGGTGAAGCCCGAGATGAATAGCGACGAGCAGATGGCCAGCAGGTCGGAGAAGAAGGGCACGGCGCCGGCAATGACCCACGACAGCAGCGTGATGGCGGCGTCCAGGCCAATCCACGTAGCCCAACCCATGGGGGTGTTGACGTAGCGGATGATGGAGTTCTTGAAGGCGCGCCCGTGGATGTACCGCGCCACCACAGTTGTGTTGATGCTTCCCGAGATGAAGATGACGGGGATGGCGATGCCGAACGCCACCTTGGACACCACGGGGCCAGCCGACAAGATGGCGGGCGACTTGACGTCCGGACCGACAAAGACGTAGACCAGGGCGCCTGTGATGGTGTAGAGGAAGATCTCAAAGATGCCGAGCGACAGGATCGCCTTGTCGAAGTCCTGGGGCGTGTGCATTTCGTCCATGAAGCTGAACTGGCACAGGGCGAAGCTGTAGGCAAACACGATGTTAGTGATGGCGATGAAGGTTTCGGCCAGCGACAAATTCTCCTTCGGCCATGCAGACCACTCCACGGACGCGAGGCCGCCAGGTAGCTCGCTGGCACGAACACCAGTGGCAACGATGGTGATGAAGATGGCGGCGATGATGGACGCGAAGTCAATGTAGCCGAGGATGGCCATCTCGGAAAAGCTGGGCGGGATGGCGACGAGGAACAGGAGAATCGCCGAGACGACGGTGAAGACGATGGTGCAGGCGCCGTTGTCCGAGAGATTCCCAAACATGATGGCGCCGGTCAAGACGTGCGAGCCGATGGTGAAGACGAGCTGCATGATGAACATGAAGCTGACGATCTCGTAGCCAATGTTGCCAAACATCATGCGGCCAGCGTCGGTGTAGTGCGAGATGTGCGGGTATTTGAGTTTCATCTGGCCGATAACGAAGCTGGCGTACAAGGCAACGAGGCCAATTCCGACGGTGAGAATGACGCCAGCCACCATGCCGAGGGTCGCGAACGCGCCCGGAAGACTGAGACTCCCCAGGGCAACCGCCGTCACGATCAGCACGATGGTGAGACGCTTCCAGCCGAGCCGGTGGAAATGCGCCTCGCCTTCGGCCACCTTCTGCTTCTCGTAGTCGTTCATCTCGACAGTGGGCCGCACTTCGCCCACTTCATCCTCGGATTGTGACTGCAAGATGTCCGGGCCCGGGGTGTCGAAGGGGTCCGCCTTCTTCTTGTCTGAGGGCATGGTGCCCGGGGCGGGGTTGATGGCCGCCATGGTTAATGACCGTTATGGTGTTGGGAGACAGTCTCTTGTCACCTTCGTCTGTGGGCTGGCGGTGTTGAAACCAGGGCAGGCGAGGCACGGCGGCTGCAGTTCAGCAAACGTTGCTGCACCGATACCAGAGGTCCTTCCGGGCCCGGCCTTTATGAAGTAGACGAGTGGCTGGGAGGGAAGGGGTGTTCCCGCGTCCTCAAAAGGTCAGTTGCCTGGGCCCTGTGAACAAAAAGGAGCAGAAGAGGTGGCAGTGAGACGAGGAGCACAGCGAGACCACACCGTTTAAGCGGATCTGCAAACCCATCGACCAAGGCCAGAGTGTTGCGTCGACACTTGCCGACAAATCCCTGCCTCGAAACCCGACTTCGGTTGATATCGCGTCCAGAAACCCCGGCACAAGCGTGTTCCTATCGCCCCTTCGACAGGGCTCCGGACTTTGGCCCGCCTGTCCAAGCCATCGCCGGACACCCCGTAGTTCATCCCACCAGTCGGAGCATTATGGTGGTACTGTTCCCCCAGATCCCCAGGTTCCTAGATCCCGCCTTGCCCGCCAAAGTCGTTCACGGGGCGGCCACGCCTCGATCGTTACGGAAGGTTCCAGGGTCCTACATCACCTGCGGCCCGTCCGCGCCTTCTAGAAGCCCACCCGCCCCCGGGTTCCTTGCACTCGATTCGTGTATTTGTGGGTGAGGCAAGGATGGCGGCGGGTAGTGCGGCGATTACTCACAGGAACCTGTCATCGGATGAAACTGGCTTCGTCACTCGTCGGTATCCGTATCAGGGTACTCCAGGTTCCGATCGATAATCTCCGCTCATGATTCAGGCGGGTAATGTGGAATGAAAGGTCGGTGATGTCCAACCGCGGGAGGGGCGATGGTAACCTGGAACCTTCCTTTCGCCGAAGCCACATCCCCTGCCGGCCGAGTGGCGGAGACGGCAACGCTAAAAAGCTTGACCCCCGGTAGTTGTACGTTGCATTGAGGGAACGTCGTGTGGTGTACTATGTACCTGTGTACTGCGTATAGCTGTATACCTGATGTGCTGATATTCGGTCTCCGGTTTTGGGACGTGACAAAACCCGCCGAGAATTAGCGGTCTTTAACCCAAACATAGAAGCATCAGAAGGAGAGACAACTGGAATTAGCGAAACCGACAGGTCCCAAGTCGGCGCAGGTCAGGTCTACCATGCCTCGCATGCTCCAATGCGGACCATGAACGCTGTCCAGACTCCAATCCGCCACTACAGTCCCCACAGTTATGGGGACAAGAGGTGGATGTTCGAAAAGAAAATGCTTGGCCACGCGGCCAGGTACGGATCTTTGAGACTTGCCTCGGAAACCGGACCAAAGGCAAAGGTTAAAAACGCGTGGCTCGGTTACTGGCAGTACTGTGCACCTTCCGAAGCCTAGAGGTTGTGATTGATAAGATAGAAATGAGGGTAGAGGTACATCTGAAAAAAAACTCAAACTCAATGCCATGATGATGATCTCGTAACGTTGTTATGTCAAGCAGATGGCGCTGTGCCAATCATGGATAGTTTTGACGCGACAAGGGACATTGTAACGGACCCTCAATTCCTCAACAAACTTGCCGAGTTTTGAACGAGGCCGGCGTTTGCCGAGTGAGCGGGTCTGCAAGAAACTCCGCTTGCTGAACGTCGGTGACGAAAACGGGAGGTGGTCTCGCGGAAAGTTGCTTCCTTTGGAGGTTCATGGTTCATCAGCCTCAAATCACTCGTGACGTCGTTTTCAGGTTCGGCTCAGGGCTTGTGCTGGACCCTGACAGGCTTGGCAGGGCAAAGGCGAGTAACCCTAACCCGGAAGAAACCACAATAGATTGTGGCTTTGGGGATGTGGCATTTAACTCATGTAGATGTGGCGCTCTGGCAGGCCCACTGTGCCCCACGAACTAACTAAGCCCACAACAGCAAGTAAACAAACCCAACACTCTCGTCCAATCACGGATGCCTGTCGGTATTTTGGCAATTGCGGCTTCCTCCCCGCGATCGTTTCGAGTTGAAGGACCGTGATCACCAGCCCGGCCACGACCAATAAGCACACTCTTTAGCTTAGGCCCTCCGACATTCATTTGTATACGCGCTCCGGTCACGTCGATGAACGAGTTACACAACGCGAGCCCCCCTCCTTGAAGCCGCGCCCGTGTCAACACCCAACTCTTCCCTCGCTCCTTCATCCAACCAACCCATTCTCCGACGACGCGACGCGCTGCCGAGATCGCCTCCAACGATCACCGTGAAGATGGACCCCGAGGACCAATATTTCGTCTTTGAGAACCGTCTCGACTCGTTCCAGGACGCACAGCCCGTATCCAAAGGGAAGGCCTCAACCGCCGCCTCGCGCGCACCGAAGGCGCTTGTCTGGCCACACAAGACACTGTCGCCCTTAGCAGTAAGTCTCCAACACTATATATTCTGCCAGCACAATTTTACTGACGCGTTTGGCCCAGCTCGCCAAAGCCGGATTCTTCTTCCAACCACATCCGAAAAGCCCCGACAATGTGGTATGCTTTCTGTGCGAAAAGTCACTCGACGGGTGGGAGGAGAGCGACAATCCGCTGGAAGAGCATTTGAAGCATTCGCCAACATGTGGCTGGGCCATCATGGCGGCGATTGAAGCCGGCTACGGTAACTACGGGAAGGTGCACCCCCTCGACCCAGCCATGATCGAGGCACGGAAGGCGACATTTGCAGGGCGCTGGCCGTACGAGTCGAAAAGGGGCTTCAAGTGCAAAACCAAAAAGGTAGGCGCGCTCCGGCTAAGTCAGGGAGCTCGAGGCTAACCTTGGCTACAGCTTGTCGAGGGTGGCTGGAAGTTCACGCCATCTGGCGAAGCGAGTGACATGACCACATGTGCCTATTGCAATCTCGCG